TAGGGAACTAGAAACTACGACAAAATCATTTCATTTGATTCTAATAAGCTGTCCACATCAGCCGACGTTTGTTGTTTTGCTTTTTATTTGATATTTCATCACAAATTTCCTTTACGTTGACACTCGTTGCAATAAATTTCGGAGATTCGGCAGAAAATCAACAGAAAAAAACTATTTTGTGCAGATAAAATACTGAAAAAAATATTCAAAGAAGAAATCGATTTATTGATGCGCTTCACAAACAAGAAATTCTGTTTTGACAGTTGTGACACTCAACACTCAAAGTAAATGACATTCCACATAAACGCGCTGAGCGATGCGCGTTATGAGCACATTGAACGCGCACTGTTCAGTGCGTTAGTCAGCGGCTGAATCAGATTGAACGCGTTCAGATAGCTAGCTGAGCTCAGCCACGTACATTGTCTGCTGATAGGCGGTCATGTGAGCCAACTCGAGTGCTGTTCATGGCCAAACAGGAAATCGAAAGAGAATGTTTCTCTTGTACCTATACTTGTATGAGAAAGACGAAATCGAAGGATGGCAAAGCGTTCTGTGCGAAGGATATCTTGAATAAAGCTTTCATGGAAAACGCAGTTAAACACAATGATGGGTATCATTTTCTGAAGAATGTTCGAGGGACGCCATTATACTGGGGAAACATCAAGAAAGTGAATCTGGCAATGGTTCGACAAGTTGGTGCGCCTACATTTTTCATCACAATTTCGCCAGGCGAACGAATTTGGCTTGAATTGTTGCAAGTTCTTGTCAAATTTCATCTTGGAAAAGATATTACACTTTAAGAAGCTGCTGAATTGGATGACAACGTTATCACTGATTTGATCAGAAGAGATCCTGTCATGTGCGCCCGATATTTTGACAACAAAGCAGATTGCCTCTCGAAATGCATAAAGAAATTGGGTGGAGTTTTTTCTGAAATCGAAATAACTGATTCGTACATTCGAGTGGAATTCCAAATGCGAGGCTCTCCACATGAACACGGTATATATTGGGCAAAAAATGCACCGAAATATAATCCCAATGATCCAGAGTCGCGAAGATTGTTTGAAGAATTCATCGATCGGTTCATTACCTGCAAATATGACAAAGAGTGTCCGTACATCGTACTTCAAATGCATCGTCACACGCATACTTGCTACAAAACACAAGGGCAAAATAAAAAATGTCGTTTTCATTTTCCATTGCCTGTTATGCCACGTACACGAATTTTAAGTCCATTCTGCGATGAAGAAGAACCCTCACGCCAATCTGCAGCCGAACTGTACGGCCGAATTAAATTATACATGATCATTTGTACAAAAAGCCAAAAGAAATTGATTTTCCTGAAATACTCAAAATACTACAATGCACCGAGGAGGAGTATATTTTGGCAATTCATAGCTCCTTAAGATATGACAAAGTATTCCTGCGCCGATCGAGTACGGAAGTTGGTATAAATGCATACAACAAAGATATTCTACAGCTGTTTGAATCCAACGTGGACATTCAATTTGTTCTTGATGAATATGCTATTGCATCGTACATCCTGAAGTATTTGACCAAAACTGAAGGCTCTGTTTCCAAGCTCTTGAGAGAGGCCGCCAATGATGTTCGAAATGAAAACAAAAGTTTGATTGAACAAATGCACACGTTTTCAAACATCTTCATCAATTCATCCATCATTTCGGCACAAGAAGCAGTTTATATGTGCCTATCGATGAAACACAGCAAGTTTAGCCGTGAAAATATATTCATAAACACAAGTCCAGTTGATGAACGCGTTCGCATTACGAAAACGTCAGCCGAACTAGCAAAAATGGATCCAGATGACACAAACATTACTGTCCCGAATATCCATGAAAAGTACGCAGAAAGAAGTGCCGAATATGAAGATCTGTGCTTGGCCGATTATGCTGCCGAATATAGAGAGAAGAGAGTATTGGGACACATCACACTGATCAAACGACAGAAGCCACGAATTCTTCGATATGTACATTATGCTCGTGTAAAAGATCCTGCAAATTAGTATCGAGAGCAGTGTCTCCTGTTTTTGCCATGGCGCAATGAAAGAGCTGACATCGAGCTGATGGATTGCGAGCAGTTGTATGCAGAAAATGAAGTCGTAATTCAAGCCAATTGGAAAAAGTATCAGTCATTATCCGAGGAAAAGTCAAAACAGCTCCTTGCGCACATCGAAAAGGGCGTTCAAGATGACGACGACGACGAAGAACAGATGGATCAAAAACAAAGAGAATTTCTCAAAGATCAAGAACATCTTGTGGATTTGATGGAACAAGCAGGAAAGCCGCCAATTTCTGAAAAAGAACAAAAACCTTCCCGATATTTCTTGCCAAAGAAGATTCCAACGGATGATTTGTTGAAAAATCTTGAAATTCTCAACGAAAAACAGCGACAGATTGTTATGCATATTTACAAATGCTTCAAAACACAATCGGATGTATACTCCTTTAAATAAATTTCGGTCTTTTTGAAATATGAACAAATGTAAACCAGACTTCCTTACACTGAACGCAGCGAACTCAGCAATGTAGCGAGCTCTGTAATGTGAGAGCTGTCAAAAAAATTTCTGCAAGTGAATTTGCCAATTTATTAGGACTGGTTCACACTTATTTCTCTGTTTTTCGCTATAATCGTTTGATGTCAAATGGACCGAAATATATTTTAAGGAGTATACCATTCCAGATATATTTGGCTGGTTCTGCTGGCGTGGGAAAGAGTAAGGTGATAGAAACTATTTATCAGATCATCACACATTATTTGGACAATTTACCAGGCGGTAATCCAGAAACAATAAAGGTTTTATTGACAGCGTTTGCTGGTAAAGCAGCGATTTTAATCAACGGAACCACGATTCATACAGCATTTGCATTGCCAGTCAAGAGACGCAAAGATGCCAAATCTGGAATTCCACAGCTATCCGACGACGTTGCAAATACTATTCGAGCAAATTTGATTGATTTGGGACTGGGAATCACTGATGAAATTTCAATGGTTGATAACATAATGTTTAGCGAAATGCACACGAGATTGGTTCAAATCACAGGTCAAAATGAACCATTTGGAAGAATTTCAATCATTGTTGTTGGTGACTTGCTGCAACTGCCACCAGTCAGAGGTCAGATGGTATTCATGCCACCCAAAGATTCAGACACAGCCATTTTTAGCAACCTCTGGGGCAATTTTAAATACTTCGAGCTTACCGAGATAATGCGACAAAAAGACGAGCAGCTATTCATCACAGCGCTTAACAACTTAGCTGTAGGTAAAATGTCTAGCGAAGACATCAAACTATTCGAATCTCGCGTTGTGAGCGAGGACAGAGTCCCAACTGCAGCCATTCGATTGTTTCATGCCAATAAGGATGTCGATAGCTATAATAACGAAAGAATCTCGAATCATCCAGGAAATGAATATCTTGTAGAGGCTGTCGACAGTGTTGACAAAAACATTCCAGAGCGCAAGAAGGCATATGCATTGAATTCATTACGCAAACGAACGATACACGATCAAGGCAATTTGCCAAACGATTTGAGGCTTAAAGTTGGAATAAAATACATGATTTCCGTGAATATCAACATAAAAGATGGACTCGTAAATGGAGCTTGCGGCACTTTGAGATATATTCAGCACGAAAACGGTCAACCAAAAATGTTATTCATCGAGTTTCCAGCGAATGTTGGTGCGGCAGCCAAGTCTGAAGTAAATCACACCATGATAAATGTTGATGGATTTTGCAATGATTGGGTTCCCATTCAAAAGGTCACCAATGAAATTTACTCGGATCCGAATAATATTAGGCTGTTCCGACAACAATTTCCACTAGTTCCGGCAATTTCCACTAGTTTTTACCAATTGAATTTGAAAGTTGGTAAGCAAAAGGATTGGCCCCAAGCAATGGCTTTTCAGTGTTGGTAGATCGATATTGTAAGAATGGATTGAATGTGTCACTGCAAAAACTGGTTAATCGATATATGAACGAGTGAGGGCAAAAGTGAAACTTATACTCATAGCATATTTAATTGAAATACAGAAGAAACAGTTTTTTTAAGTGCAACATCGACAAAGAATTCTCTGCCGATGTTACACTTTGAAAAAATCTTCTGTTTTTGTTTCGTGTACATGCGGTGAGTATAAGTCTCACTTTTGCCCTCACCCATCTATCTATCTATAGAATTTGGAATATATTCCAAATTGTACTCGATGGGTCCAGATCATCAGGCTGTTGTTGCCAGAGCTGCCAGTGATTAAATTTTCTATATATTAAAATGTGTGCGTTATCGTCGACGTCTCGGAAAAAAAGAAAAATGCCCCCACACCAAAAATACAAGAGCTGTGTGCGCCACACATCTACTTTGAACGCGATGTTAGCTACGTGTGCATAGTATGTAGTGCATACACAATCAGAATGTTTTTTCTAGCTCTTATGGCAATTGTTTTTGAAAATAAACTGAAAAACCACATGAACCGTAATCACTTTCCTCGATAGGATGAAACAACAGCTGGAGATGGATAGTATGAGTTACATTTCTGTCATTATGCTGCACGCAGAAAAATCATCTGACGGTGCACATTATCGATGTTCACAAGAAATTGAAACCACACAAATGCTATCTATGTAACTACGTTGCACAAAGGAAGGATGGTCTCAGGAAACACATCAATACCGTGCAAAGAATCAAAACCATTCAAATGTGGCACATATGACTCAACATTTCTTCTATATATATTTGTTTTGTTCATCATTCACCACAGCAATGCGAACGAAACGATTATACGCCATTGTTTGTCGTATGCAACGTTCACTACTGTGATGAGCGATGCTCCGAAGATCGATCAGCTGACGCCTCTTTAGAATGAAAAATACGATTCTAATTAGAAACATTTTCACGCATTAATGCAAAATACAATGGGAAAAAGGAACAACAAGTGACTGCCAAGTTCAACGGCCAAATTTGTACTGTCATCATTGCCGCTTTCAAATGCGATTTCTCCTTGAAATGTTTTCATGCGATATTTTCTGTTTTTCCATGTTTTTCTTGATAGAAATCTTATTTTATAGGTAAATTTATGTTTGTAATTTTTATCATTTGGTAGTTTTGGTTTTCCTTTGATTTGTTTTGTGGACTTTCTAATTGATTTCAATCAAAGCAATTACGAATTGACTTGAAAAAACACACAATTAATAATCGAAATAGCCCAATAAAATGAAAATTTGAAGTGGGTTTTGAATGCGATTAGTGTGTTTCGTACACTTTTTGATCGAAAATTTCGATCGGAAATTGAGTGTGCGTTTTTTCAAAATCAATTTCTGCTCGCATTGAATTCATTTAAATTTTCATTCGATTCCGTCTTTTACTTTCATTCTTTTTTCGATACATAAATAATCGGAGATTTAACAAAAAAGACAACAGTTGCGTTTCGACAACGAGTGCGCCAACAACAACAACAGTTGCGCCGACAACATAGTCAAAAATAAACACACTCAATTTCATGTATACAGTGAGCGTCAAAATTTTTGGCACAGTTAGTTTTTTCAGTTTTTATATATATTTATTGTTGTTTTAACAAAATTTCTTTTATGGTTTTATGAAACGAGTAGAAATATATAAATTCATAATCTTTTTTTCGAATTTAATTTACCGTTACTGTAGATAAATGACAAAAATCAAAAATCACGCGTCAAAAGTTATGGCACACTTTGGGAAAAATGGTCAAAATCTTGAATATCTCATAATTAATTGTCGGTATTTGGCTTTTAAATGAAGATGGTGACCTAAATCAAAGATTCCGGTACTTTGTTTTGCATTTTAATGATGGCCTTAAGTCATAAAGCTGGCCGGCATATGGCCAAAATGTGGTTTTTTGTATTTTTGACCACCCTGTATTTTTAAAGCCGGCCATGTGATTAAAATAAAACATATACAGTTGGAAACGTCTTTGAAAGTAGATGCATTTAGTGCTAAAGCACAATCAAATCGGCGGCCATTTGGTCAAATTACGGTCATGTGAAACCATTGGCCAACAATCAAAAAACATATGGAAGTGGCCAAAATTTGGCCAAATTTAGATTCTTCTAGACAGTAACGGTAAATTAAATTCGAAAAAAAGATTATGAATTTATATATTTCTACTCGTTTCATAAAACCATAAAAGAAATTTTGTTAAAACAACAATAAATATATACACCACAGGCCATAAGTTTGGATACCCGTGAAACGTTTGTTTCTACGTTTTTTGAACATTTTCACTTGAAATTTAGTATTGGATATGAAAATATATCGAAATTCTGACCGAATGGATGATTTGGGAGATAAAATTTGGCCGGCCTATGGCCATATTTTGGCCTTTGAGCTGTGGGAGCCAAAATCGAAGTCTTAAACGGGCCATCGGATTAAAAAGTTATATATGCCATTGGAAAGGTCTTGAAAAGTAGATGTGATTTGTGGTATTAAACATCAAAATCGGCCGGCGTTTGGCCAAGATATGGCCGTTTGTAATTTTTGGCCGAAATCTTCAATCAGCCATATCTTGGCTAAAAGCTGGCCGATTTTGATGTTTAATACCAAAAATGATACGTACTCTCCGAGACCTTTCCAACGACGTATAGCACGTTGAAATTGGACAAGCGGTTTGAAATTTAAAAATTTTGGGCCAAATTCATTCATAGGGGTATCCAAACTTATGGCCTGTGGTGTATAAAAACTGAAAAAACTAAATGTGCCAAAATTTTTGGCGCTCACTGTATATACAATACACACAGAGAAATATACACGAATACCAATATGGATTCTGTAAAATATTTGACACTTTGCATATTTTGTAGAATTCACACAAACGACTAATTAATTAATGACCTGGATCAAACAAATTTCGACTATTCCGTCGATGGTGATCCCGCCAAAGGTGTCAACTTACAGTTCGGACAATTGACTTCGGACAAACTAAACGTTTGAAAAATAGTTTTCAAGCATCCAAACTAACATTGTGTATCAAACTGATATACATATTATCGGTCACCCCGCCGATATAATGGATCAGGTGGTCTCCGACGTTGAACGCTGCGTTGATCGAACGTGTGACCGGGCTCGAATGACAGATGTTGAAGCAAAATCTGACCATCTCCACGATTTCACGTGAATTGCAACGCCAGCGACAACATTGTCATCAGCGGGAAAAGGCAAGAGTGTTGTTGATGGATCAAAATCAACAGGTAAACCGTCAACCGGAAGCAAGAAACAAAATCACAGCAAATTCCGGAAAAACGAAGAAGAAGACGATCCAGACGAGGAATTTTTCACCATTGTCATGAAACTGAATCAATCTCTCGTCGACGGTGCGCACAAGAATTGACTAGCCGAAATTATCTTCCGAACGGCTGTGAAGCGATCGAAACTGGGCAAACTCGGTTCACTGTACATCCATCTGAAGCTGTTTTGTTCAAAAATCTTACTTGGGTTCACGATTTGAATGTCGTGGATATCAACAAAATATACATTATAATATGACGACATAAAAGAATTATGTTTGTATTAGTAGTATAGTTATGTATGTAATAGAATATTACTAACACACTCTCTCTCACACACTCTCTCTCTCTCACTCTCTCTCTCTCTCTCTCTCTCTCTCTCTCTCTCTCTCTCTCTCTCTCAAACACACACACAAATCGCAATTGTACTGACCGCACTCAACAAAATGACTTTG